TCACCCCCAAGCTCTATATTTTCTTTTGTCGGACCCTTTGCGAGTGGATGCAATGAATTATTTATCAAAGCACCAGTTCAGGAATATTCCCCGCTGGCCCCTATAATAAACCGCAGCATCGAGGACATGGAGCGGTTCGTATTTGTCTGGATCCACCACGCAGCTTGAAAATCGCCTTGATGTTGGGGGAGTCGTAAGGAAACCAACCTGTCCTGTCTGTCAACCTTGCATGAAAAAGTTTCAGTGGTTTCTCTACTGCAATGAGGTGGCTGGCGTGTGTCTTGCGACGTTCAAATACAAATAATAGTTCGTTCAATGTCATACTTGAACCATTCTGGAAAATGGGAATTTTCTTGCAATGCCATTTAATGATGATAATATAGAGTACTATGTGATTATTGAACAACCATTAACTCGCCACGAAAGAAATGTCACTGAAGTACGGAAGAAGAGTAATCACCCTTGTAGAATTACATAATCATGATAATTGTAGAGATTGCCGACTAAATCGACTAATGAAAATCTCTGTTAAAATTGTCTTTTTTTTCAAGAGGAATGCGGTGTTCAAAGGAGGATTTTCTAGATTCCCCCAAAAGTTAAAGTAATTTTACAAACGACTTTGGCGGGAGATTCAGAGTTGCTCTCGAAGAGCATGTTACCTGCAATTTTGGTTTATATGTGAGCAAAAAATGAAAAATAGTCAATTATAAAAATGTCCACTCAGTCCCTTGCTGAGTTCCCAGAACGAGTGATTCTCCATGTTATTACGCTCTCTCATGCTCATCTATGCCGCTCGATATTATGGAGCGCTCTTAAGTATCTCTGTACATAATTTTCAAGTAAGAGCGATCGTACATATCCATCATGGTCATTACCAGTTGAAGTAAATTGTTTTCTCGAAGGAAAAAAAAAACCGAAAAAATTTCAAAATTCTGCTCTGAACTCAACCAGTCTTACCGCTCGAAATTCTAAATCATCGTCAAGGAAAACAAAAGCCAAGTCTCCCTTTGAAAAGCCAGGTGCGGTTTGTTCCCAAGAATGGACTTCGCATTACACTCATCAGTGATACTCTCCCCACGTCCCATGTTCCTCCTATAAGAGGAGCCATTGGACTTTTATGCAAGGAATATTTACCCATTGCTTATAGAGAACTTTCTTTTTCACGTTAGCGAAAAAAACTGTCCCTATTATTGCAAAGACAAAGAAAAACATGCACACTCAAAAGTCTTGCATGAAAGTATAATCATTAATAAACACCCAGAAATTGAGTTTGCCAACGTCCACATCCTCGAATGCGTTGAGTGCAACAGTATCACAATACTGAAATATTCTAATATGCCTTTCATACCTAACGAAAAACAAAATTTTAAGAATCCTGTTTTAGAATTTGATGATTTGAAAGCATGCTTTTCACGTGAATTCAAATACCATCCAAAGCAACAAGTCCATTGGCCTTTTCATTGAAACCGATTGAACAGGCTTTGGTGGAAGTGAAATTTTATTCGGACGAAAAAAGCAAATGGTCGTAGAGGAAACTGAGGATGAGATGCAGAAAAATTAGTTTCCGACACTGTCTTTGTTGTCTCCATAGGTATGGGATCGTTAGAAGAGAAACTTTGTGGCTTGACAGTGAGAAATGTACATTTTCAAGTTTGGGCATCAGAAGTTTTGGGGGTGTTCCATGTCATGAGAGAGAGAAGTTGCAGAAAGAAGAGATGGATCGAGTAATGAATCCTTACTCGAGGAGCGCTGCCATTGCTAGGCATAATCCAGATAAACAATATCTATCCGCCATTTTATGGGGAAGGCAAAAGAAATGTCGTGATGATGACAATCCATCATTTTAATGACAGGTAAAAGGAGCTGCGGTGCAGTGACAGCAGACAAAGTGTGTGCGTGCATCCGAGCGATTATCATCAATAAAGCGAAATGTCCAAGACTAGGGTACTCAAAGGAAACCATTCCCCTTTGTACCTGCAACCACGAATCGTTACCTAGTAACTCTAAGTTTAAGTAATGATCACTACACTTGCACAGTGCTTAGAAGGAAATATACTGTATATTACAAGGGATTACTTAAAGTTTAGGTAAATTTGCTACCAAGGAGCAAGCCCAAGAACTAATAGTGAAAATATTGACCTTTTGAAAATTGAAGAGGTGGAGTGGATTACCAATAGGTGGACCCCTCTCTCCTACGCTAAAATTTGCTAAAAATGGCATATTAATATACATCCCGAATTTGCTACTAACAGGTTCGCTGTCGATGACGCACCTTGTCGTTATCTTTTCCATAGAATCGAGCATCATCGGCAGCGAACATGTTAACCACCCACCATTGGTCCAGGAGCATTTTCAGAATCGCCCTTTTTTCGGCAACGTTCCATAGCTTTAATTTGCTATGACAAGTTTGAAAATGGAATTCAACGTGCCTCAAATAAACCAACCAATATACAAATTTATTTTTATTGACAATAGCAGCATAAAAAATCCGATATCGTTTTTCTATGTTGAAGGACGGTGAAATGGATGCCCGAAACACCTCTAAGCGAAATCTGAATCAATATAAATAGAATATATACATATGAATAGGAATGAAAGTATGAACATAGGATGTCCATCCGCAGCAGACTCCCAGCCTAAGTGGACTAAAGCAATTGAAGAACAGCGAAGAAGACACGAAAAAAAAAGAAGGCGAAATTAGCCTGAAGTACCAACAAGCCGTGCAGGAGTCTCACCAACTGATTCTCATGTCATTTTCTGCAGCTTGACACTTCGTCATTGAATAAATGAAAACTTGCAACACATGGATATGTTTTAAGGACACAGTGGTGTTGTCCCAGGGATATGTAAGGAGAAGACCTGAGAGACGGTGAGAGTGGAAATAACGGAAATTCTGAATGGGTTTCTGCTTGAATGGCCGGTACCACACGGGAAATAAGGGAGAGTGTGAGACGTGCGGTGGTTGAAAAATGGGTTTTTATTCGGATGATTCTGGTTAGTTTCTGATGAAAAATGAACACAAGGAAATGATGATTCGTGCCCGTAATACTCCGAATAATTGCAGCAGGAACTAAAGAGTTCTCTCAGGAGGCAGTTTGCATTCCCTTGATATTGCGATGACCATGAAGGACGTGTTATTTGTTCGGTATCTGTGGTAACAAGCGTATTGGCGAACAAATTTCAAAATCTAAAATGGATAATAAACACAAGTGACATTAGGACAGTGACTTCATTGCCTTCCATTATTTCAGATTACTCTTGCAACCCTATCTGGTGTCCCACGGAAGAACCGGTGCAATGTACCTAAATTCATAATTTTCACCCAACCCTTCAGGACTTCACTTAGCTTTTCCATGGAAACTGGTTTTAGGTCACCGTATGTTGGAATTCATCATCAATGATCGCATCATAAGAGATCGAGTTGATTAAGGACCACTCAGAACTCAAGATTCAACTTTTCCATATCCTGACGTCATATTAAGCGAGTACTCTTTGAGAAAAGCAATTTTGGTCAAAGAAAAGTTGAACCGAGAAATCGTAATAACGGGTGGGCCAAAAGAAAGGTTGCACTTAGAGTTCAATGTTAAAACAACCATATGCATGTAGGCCAACAGCCTACGTAAATTACTCTTCTTTAGAATGTAAGTTGTTCATTAGTCTAACTTTACCGTTAGTCCATATTCACATTCCAACCAAAAATCAATATGACGGGCATGGAGTATATTTCATTTCCCTCTCAAAAGTACAAAATAAGGACGGATTGCCAGAGGGGGGGAGGTGGAACAATGAAGATGAATAAACCCTCTCCTTTCATGCTTTGTCAGCCAGCGTCTATTTTCTTCCAAAGGAGACTCTCAAGACGACAGTTTGGGTATGAAAGTTACTAGTCGGAAATGCTACCTATGAAACCTCCGTCCTTCACGACAGAATCCTGAATATAGATTAGGAATCGGCCATTATGGAGGAGCTCCTAGACATCCATTACGAAAATGCCCAACAGGATTCCTATAGGAACATATAGGATTCCTATAGGTTCCTATGGATCCCATAGGGTTCAGTTTCGGACCTATATTGTTCCCTATAGAACCGATAGGGTTCCCTATAGAACCAATAGGGTTCCCTATATAACCTATACGGAACCTTATCAGCCTATAGGGTTCCGTTTGACGTTCTCCTCTAGGCCACTAGATGGAGGTACTGGGTTCTCCCATTTCTCAAAGGACACAAAAGGGCTCTCCTCTTATCCACGGAATCATCTTTCGCAAGAGTGTTTTTTTTTCTTCCCCAAATATCTCGCCTTGCCTTATTGCAGCAATCAATAAACTTCGACACTTATTTGTCATCCCCATCTTCCAGATAGAATTATGGAGTCCATGCCAGAAATATGCCCATTTTCCGTTTGAAAGCCACGCACGTATAAGGTAGCTGACCTTGCTGGAAAGTTAATCTATCCCGACATTCTTCCCAGAACAACGCCTGACATCTATCTCTGATTCGAAAATATTATTAGGACTGTCTCTTACCTAAGTTATTATCAAATTATGTTCTCTCTACAGATACTACAACCTCGTCTTCACCCCCACCCAGCCCTGTTAACAAAGTAACCTTAGTAACTACGGTAACAGTAAATTAGCAGCTCAGCTTGAATCGCTTACGGGCGGACCAAGCTGGGTCTAAATGTCAAAATTAAATGGAATTAGACACCCAAAAAGGATTTTAAAATTATTCTCACCATTTTCCCTGCCTTCATTTCACCTGCCTTGGCAAAAACAGCCAAAACTACATTTGATACCCTGACTGGATCCATAGCATCATAATTTAGGTCCAGCAAAAGAAGTAAGGCACTTACAGCTAGGTTTTTTTGTTTCAAATAATGCTCGTTATCCTGCCCTCTCACCCAACTCTTAGCTGGGGTGATCCCACCACGTGGAGATCACAGGCCGGAAAAAAAGGTACATGCCAAAAAATGGAACGGCGTGTCAAGATTTACCCTTTCAGATATGCCTACCCTCATCACGGAACTCGTGAACCGCCGCAGCTCCGCCCCCTTTCCGGTAAGACGGGGCTGCCCGACCCGTTGACTCGCTCCATCGACCGAGCCGACTGCAATCGGGTTTAGCTTGGGTGTTTTGCATGCCCGATCGCAGGGTGGGACGCGGGGTTGCTCGTGCGGTGCCGAAGGAACAGAGCGGTGGGAGAAGCATATCCAAGACGTTTCCGTTCGTGTTGCATTCACCTTTCCCCATGACTCCTCGAAAGTTGAGTTTCACTTTAGATCCCAGGGAGGTTCTAGAACTCCTTCCAAAGCCATCTCGCTCCTGCCAACCTTATGAAAGTTCCACCTGAGAAAATTCTACCAAAGTAATCCAACTTTCTTCCCCTCTTAGGAAGCGACATGGAGGCTGGCCTTGTACCTCGCATTTTGCACCCAGTGGAAACCATCTGTTGGGAGCTCAGGGGGTCTTTATCGCAGGTGGGATGGAGAGAATGCACGGATCCAGAATCCTCTCCAAGAGTTCATCTCCGTGAAAGAAATCATGTGCTCCTCTCTTTGCTCCGGGTGAGAGAACCTCCAAAAGACAATACAAGCTATTTTCTTCCATTAATATTGACGGTTTTTTAGCCTCTTTCCTACGGATGACGTACATTTACGTCGTGAGACTTTGCGCCTGGCTGAGGATGGAATTATACCGTTGGGATGCTGGGCTGGCTCAGCAAATCCCGTGGTCAAGGTGTCAAAAAGAAAAAGATATTCTAATATTGTCGCAACATTACGTAAGTCAAGGAACGACTATCTCAAAGAGATATTTATATTTATTTTCTTTTTCATTTGTATTAAAACACATTCATTTGCTGATATATTACGTAACGCGAACACAATTCAGTCATCGAAAGTCCCATTTTGTATTCCAGTGTCAGCCTTTCGTTTGTCGCCTGGTCGCCCTGAAACCTCCCACCTTCCGCTCATCTGTTCCGAGCAATAGGAATGAAATGCATGAAAGACATTGAACGTGAACATGGATCTGCATAATAAATGCGTCTAAATGAAATTAAATAGATAATTCCGTGTTTTTGCGGTAAGTACTGTCCCTTACGAAAATGTATTATAGGATTCCTATATATTTCTTTAGGAATATATAGGAATCCTATAGGAATCCTATAGGAACTTAAAGGAATCCTATAGGTTCCTATATGCCCCGTAGAGTTCAGTTTGGGACCTATACAGTTCCCTAAAGTACCTAAAGGGTTCTGTATAGGACTCGTAAGGTTCCCTATAAAGCCTATAGCATTCCCTATAGGACCTATAGGGTTCCCTATAGGACCTATAGGGTTCTCTATACGGCTTATACGGAATCCTATAGGCCTATAGGGTTCCGTTTGAAGTTCTCCTCTAGGCCACTAGATGGAAGTAAATCTCTCACAAGAGAGTTTTGTACGTCCCCAAATGTCTCGCCTTGCCTCATTGTAGCAATCAATAAACTTCAACAGTTCCTTCTTTGTCATCCCCATCTTCCAGATAGAATCATGGAGTCCCGTGAAGAATTATGCCCTTATTTCTTTTGAAAACCACAAACGAAAATGAGTGGACTCTATCCAAATGGAGTTTCAGTTAAGAGACGTGCTCGCAGGTTCTGTCTTATATTTCCTTAGGTCGAGAGAAGAATACTACTTCTCTCTACCGAAGGATGTATACAGGCAATCCAGCGACATATATTGGGCGGGGTCATAAATTATGCAGACCCTCGCAATACTGGTATTAGGAATGCATGTCCCACATACCATGGAAAAACCTCTAATCGGTTTTTCATTTACACCGAAATGCTGTGCCATTATTAACCCCGGTCGCCTTTTCCGTCGTAATCCTTGGATTTCGAAACGTAAAATATCCTCCCCGAGTCCTATAGGACAGGAGTCCTATGAGACCCAACAGGGATCCTATAGGATCCTAAAGGATCCTATAGGTTTTTAGTGTTTCAAAAACCTATAGGAAAGTCTATAGGTTTCCTATAGGACATTCCCGTTAGGGGTCCTTTCTGGACTTTCAAAGGAACAAAAAAAAGAAGCAGATTTCAGAGAAATTCTATAAATTTTGGAAGACACGTCGCAGAATTTGCCTTCCAGTTTCCATCGATTGGAGAGAATTTCGATCGATTAGAGGCTCGAAGAACCACCCGCTCAGACTGTTCGATCGTAAATCGGTGTTGCCCAAGAGGAAATGTAAAAAAAATTCCTACCAGGTCGCAATCGACATTGGATTCAATTGTATCGGTTTTCAGGAATCCGGAGTGCATCAGCTTCGTAACGGAGACGAGGAACGGGGAAGACGTCTGCCAGCTGGGAGGCAAGTCCTCGAATCTGGTGGCGGTCTCCGGGAGTCAAGCCACCGTCTACTTTTTGGGTATTTTTCCGAAATTTTCCTCGAACTTTTTTTCTAAAGTTTTTCTACTGACGACTTTTGTCTCATCGCGAATCTGGTGCCCCTCGCACCGAAAGTCGCGCGATAGTGATTGAATTCCCTTGGAAATTCGCGCCGCGAATGTCAAGTCGATCCGGGGTCCTCGAGCTTCGGGAACTGAATTTTTTGCTCCGATTTCCAGCATCAGACTCTTTTTCATTGCAAGGAGAGTGCGTACTAACCAGCCCATCAAACCGAACGTAAAAGTGTGGTTTGATATCTGCAGATGACTGCCTTGCCCTGCTAATAGACGTCTCCCGTCCTGGAACTCCAATTTTCACCTCCCCATATGTCTCGCCATATCTCATTATATGGCGTATAGCGTCGCCGAATCCGGCCTATTCTCATTCAAATTATACGCAGCTTCTGCAGTCGACAGTTCACGTTCATTCAGTATCCAGTGATGGGGATAAGAACGGTTTTAAGTATGAAGTAAAAATTGGAAGTGTGCCGTTAGAAGGAGGTCGAGGGTCAGAAAAAATGTTTGATCAATTTTTATGCGTTTTGGGGCAATAATGAGACAATGCAAAGGAGTTACGCTCATTAAAATAAAAAATTATTTGATTTAAGTATGAAAGGAAAATATATCATTATTTTTCAAAGCTGTGTAATTGGTGTATTCTGCTTGGATTCGAGTGAAAATTTGTGTATATTTTATACAAATTAAAATTGTTTTCTCGCTTTTAAAGCCATGCGTTTCGATTTAGCGCCGCCTTCGTTATAACGCCTAAATTGGCTAAGACCAATGGTGGTGGTATATCGAGATTTGGCTGCACAGGTGAGCCTATTTTGTGATAGTGTCGAATGTGACCAGTTCTAAAAATCTATTTTGAAAAGGGAAGTCTGTGGATATCTTTTAATTTTATTTCGAAGATATTCAAAAGTGGACAATTGACACCTACTCTTCACACCTGAGCTGATTTGAAGTTATCAGTATGCATGGCAATCCTATGCTGGCATCTGGTCCAGTAGTCTAATTCAGTCTCTCAAGATTAGCATTTTCATATCATTTTTTAGCATCATGAGAATTTTTTGAATAATGCATCAGAATCATGACTAATTCTTTCCCTTTTCAATGCAATCTTCTCATCCATACATGTCTTCTGAAGAGATGATCAACTTCTGTAACAAAAGTAATATTTGCCTATTTTTGAAAATTTCCGGCGAAAATCCACCCGTTTTAGTGAAATTTCATTTGGAAAAAAAATTACAGATTTATCTCTGATTCAGCGACGACGTTAAAAGATACGCACGCACAAAGAAGATACGGATACTGCGATTTTCCAGATCCAGCTAAATCTTTATCTGGTAGATGGAGCGCTACCAAAGGAATATCCAGAATGCCGCCTGACCGAGAAGGGAAGGGAATACATCGGGACGCAAAGAACGACGGAGAAGGGGAAGAAGTGCCTGAGATGGGACAGCCTGCCGTACGGGATTCCGAACGAGTTTTCTTCAGAGGCGGACTTTAAAGGACATTTCCCGAACTTGGACATCTGGTCGCACGAGAACTTCTGCCGGAACCCGTCCGGGAAGGAACGGCCCTGGTGCTTCGTCGCCGACATCCACGTCCAGTGGGAATACTGCGACATTCCCAAATGCGACCGCAGTTGTGAGTCTTCGACGACTCTGACCGGTTCACGTCGCCGGCGGTTCCGTCCGAATCCCTGCACGGATTCATCTAGAGAAAACGCGATCTCGAAGTCGCTCTGGCTTTCCTTTTTTTTTTTTTGCTTTCCGGGAAGGGAAGAATTTTTAAGGATTTAAGTTCGAGTCTCGCACCAATATAAGTTGCAGCCGTCGTCCGTGCTCGGGCGGCAAACCGTTTTAAGCGAAGAATCGACTTTCATCCCGACCCCCTGCCACCGTTATGCATGATCTTTAAAAAAAATTATGCAACTCTAAAACTACCTGAAACTCAATTTTTTCAAAGCTTCAACCGCTTCATGCAGTTCCTTCAACCAGTTGATATGCATGATTTAAGTCTGCTGAACCAGTTAAATATTTTTTTTTTTCCATTTTGTGCTGCATTCTGTTACCGCAAATCAAAATGATTCACTTTCCTCAACGATCAAATTTCGATTCATTACCTTCAAGAGGAAAAAGCATCAACTGGAGTTTTCGATTAACATCCTTCACTTCCCGACTGCGCCGGGCGTTTGCAAAAATCGAAATGCGTCACACGCCGAAATGAGACGGATGGTCAACAAAAAGGGCACTGAGATAGAAAAATCTCTCGTTTTTTCTGACGCACTTCGGTTTCATGACCTTTACAAGTCCTCTTCTTGAACCATTCACATCTTGTCTTGCTCATGACGGTAGAACCGAACTTCCTCATATATTAAGATGTCCAGAAACCTCGACCTCCCTTTTAAAAAGAAATTATTCAGCATCCAGCAAGAAGTATTGGACAAATATTTTTTTTAATCAGTGCTGTTGATGCCATTCCCATCTCCTTGGTCCTGTAATGGGCACGGAGCGCATTGGGTTGGATTCATGAAAATATCAAATATTAATTAAGTTAAAATAAAACCTTTACCTTAGCGCACCCCGATTCCACTACAATGAATTCCCTTCCAGGAAATCAGGTCCGGGCCAATTCAAATTGGAGCGGGAGTAACTAAGGCGTAATTCTAGAAAATAAAATGGTGTATTTCCAAAAAACTAATGATGAAAAAGACAATAGAAATGTTAGCGAAACAACCGGTACAACCCCTTTACAGTACTTTCAATGATTGGGCTGATCTTCACTTTCAGATAAAACCTTGCAAGTTCTCTGGACAACTCACGACCTTTGTGACGATCCTCTAACTATAACTTTTTCCTCTGTATGTTTTTGAGAGACAAGCGTGGCCAGTTTCAGAGCACCCACGATCAAAAGGGCCCGAGTACCCCGGTCAAATCGGTACTAACTCGAATTCTTCGAGGTCGAGCTCATCAGTCACCTCGGAGTGAGGGATCGAGGGAGGGATCTTCAACTGAAATCTTCTTGGATTGGAGGATGGGCTTGGAGATTAGAATTGATTGGAGGGACTTTGTACCCATTCACATAACGATATTATGGCTCCTTGTACAGTGTTTGGGCAGCACATTCGAGAAGAAGAGAAGAAGAGATCCTCTATTTAAATTATAAGAAGCCCTTCCACGGGTTGGCTGACCCTAAACACTGGGTTCACCTCCATATTCATGCATCTCCACGTGTCAATGGATGCTTTAGTTCACCTCCTTCAGCTTCCTCCCCGCCTTGACTCTCTACTGATACACTGGACGTTGCGCTGTCATAGGCTGGCATAAGTTACAGTTCATCTGCCGATTTGCGAAATAAGAACCATCTCAAATTTGTGACGTCACGGGTTCAACTTTTTCTTTCTCAGATTATACCGCTACGTGACCTAATTTAGTATCATATTTGAAAGCCTCCCATCCTAGCGTGAAAACGTAGCCCCACCGAATGACTATGCTATAAGCATGAGCAGTCCTCCGACACAATTCCCAACTCATCATGGTAGTCCTCCCCCTATAAACTTCGTTTGAGGCTGAAGGAGATCAAGACTTACAGATCCCCTCTTCCCAGAAATGGAGTTGTTACCTCTCTAATAGGTCCGTAGAGAACAAGTTTAATTAATTTTCTCCAGTTTGTCTATTTGTGGTAAAAAAAAAGTTGGTATTAGGTTTACAACATTCATGAACTGCAGAGAAACTACAGGAATTAAACAGAAAACCTTAGAAAATCCATAATGTATCAGTAGCAACACTTCAGGAGCGACCCTCGTACCTTTCCACGAACGTCGAATCCGGACGGAAATTTTTCACAACGGCCACGGGCTTCACGGAAGGATTCTCGTGTTGCAGATCCCCCAGAATGCAAGGTGACTCAGCAGGGCGGCGAGTACATCGGGAGGCAGAACGCGACCCTCTCCGGTTTTCCGTGCCAGCCCTGGGCTAGCTCCACGCCCAACGCCAACCAGCAGCTCTCCGAGCACCTTGGAGGATTCGCGGACGAGGAGGACGTCCAAATGGGGCACAACTTCTGCAGGAATCCGGACGGGAGAGCCGCTCCTTGGTGTTACAACGCAAATGGCACCAATCCTTCCTGGGAATTTTGCAACATCCCTTTCTGCGAACCACAGATACCGGCTAAGAAAGCGACAGGTGAAACTCAAGTGCGAGGATGCTAAAACTAAAACGATCATTCGCCCCGCACTACAAGGGTAGTCCTTGCCACAGGCTAACTAAATAATCGCCGTTCCCCAGCGCCGGGACGCAGAGGGACGACCGAGTTCGACGCAGACAGTACTAATGCTCCCAATTTACTGCGGCGCCAGAAACTCCTGATTCCACATTCGCAAATTTACTTTCCACGGATTTCCGTTGAATACGGTCTACCGAGCCATTGCGAAAATGGCTGATATGATTCCTTTATATTCCTTTAGGAACACATAGGCTCAATAGGGTTCAGTTTGAAGTTCTCCTCTAGGCCACCTGATGGAAGTCTCGCATTTCTCAAAGGACACTAAAGTGCCCTCCCCTTAACCTCTCACAAGAGAGTTTTGAACGTTCCCAAATGTCTCGCCTTGCCTCATTGTAGCAATTAATAAACTTGCACACTTCCTTATTTGTCATCCCCATCTTCCGGAGAGAATTACGGAGTCCAGGCCAGGAATACGTCCATATTCCCTTTGAAAACCACGTGCGATATTATGTAGATTTTATCCGAAAGGATTTTCAGAAAGAGGCTTGCTTGCAGGTTCGGTCTTCTTTCCTTATGCTGAGAGAAGAATGATACTTCTCACTACCGAAAGAAGTTGACGCGCAATCCAGCGACTTATGTGGGCCTGGGCAGTACTAATATTAATTATGCAGGTGCACCAACCATGTCAAAACCCCTAATCAGAAATTGATTTATACCAAAATGCTGCGCGGGTATTAATCCCGGTTGCCTAATCCGTTCTAATGCCAAGGTATGGAAACCCAAAAATTCCTCCTCAAATCTGATAGGTCAGGAGTCTATTAAGACCCTATAGGGATCCTATAGGATTCTATTGGTTTTTCGAGTTTCAAAAACTGGTTTTCACGGAATATATCGCACTTAGGAAAATTTCCTATAGGAAACCCATAGATATTTCTTATTGGAAACCTATAAACTTTCGTATAGGTACTTCAAACACGACACAGCGGTAGGATTCTATAGGATCACTATAGGGTCGTATAAAACTCCTGACGTATAAGATTTGAGGAACATTTTTTGGCTTTCCAAAGCTTGCCATTACAACATGAACGGCAACCAGAGCCAATATTGGCGCAGCATTTTAATGTAAGTTATTTACCGACTAGGGGCTCTTCCATTCCCAATACTAGTACTGCCTAGTCCCGTACAATTTACTGTCCAGGGCCCACATATGTCTCTAGGATGCGCAGGATTGTGAGTCCACTTCCTTCGGTGGAGAGAAGTATCATTCTTCTCTCGGTTTAAGGAAATGGCAAAGAGAACTTGCGAATACCGTCTCTTTACTGAAACTTCTTTCGGATGAAGCCCACTCTTTCTCGTTCGTGATTTTCAAACGGAATATGAGCATATTTCTGGCCTGGACTTCATGATTCTCTCTGGAGGATGGGGATGACAAATAAGGAAGTGTCGAAGTTTTTTATTGCTACAGTGAGGCAAGGCGATTTTTTTACGTAAATGTCCTATAGGAAACCCTTAGCTATTTCTTATCGGAAACGTATGGACTTTCCTATAGGTTTTTGAAACACGAAAAACCTATAGGATCCTTTAGAATCCTATGGGATCTCTATAGGGTCTTATAGGTCTCCTGACCTATAGGACTCGAGGAGGATATTTTGGGTTTCGAAATCCAGGCATTACGACGGAAAAGGCGACCGGGGACATGCATTATTAATACCAGTACTGCGAGGGTCTGCATAATTTATAACCCTGCCCAACATATGCCGCTGGATTGCATGTATACTTCCTCCGGTAGAGAGAAGCAGTATTCTTCTCTCGGCCTAAGGAAATGTAAGACAGAACCTGCGAGCACGTCTCTTTACTGAAACTCCATTTAGATAAAGTCTACTTATTTTCGTACGTGGTTTTCAAAAGGAATTTGGGCATAATTCTTCACGGGACTCAATGATTCCATCTGGAAGATGGGGATGACAAAGAAGGAACTGTTGAAGTTTATTGATTGCTACAATGAGGCAAGGCGAGACATTTGGGGATGTACAAAACTCTCTTGCGAGAGATGATTCCTTGGATAAGGGGAGGGCACTCTTGTGCCCTTTGAGAAATGTGAGAACACAATACTTCCATCTAGTGGCCTAGAGGAGAACTTCAAACGGAACCCTATAAGCCTATAGGGTTCCGTAAAAGTCCAATAGGGATCCCTATAGGTCCTATAGGTCCTATAGGGAACGCTATAGGTCCTTTAGGGAATCCTATAGGTCCTATTGGGAACCCTATAGGCCCTATAGGAACCCTATAGGTCCTATAGAGAATCCTATAGGTCTTATAGGGAACCCTATAGGGAACCCTACGGGTCCTTTACAGAGCCCCTTGTGTCCTATAGGGAACCTATAGGCCTTATGAGGAACTCTATTGGTTCTATAGGGGGCTCTATAGGTTCTATAGGGAACTCTATAGGTTCTATAGGGGACTCTATATGTCCCGAACTGAACTCTATGGGGCATATAGGAACTTATAGGATTCCTTTAAGTTCCTATAGGATTCCTTTAGGTTCCTATAGGATTCTTATAGGAATATATAGGAATCCTATAAGACATTTTCGTAAGGGACGTTCCCAAGGAATTACTCGTCTCCAGGATAACTTGACACGAAAATCTCCGTAATTCTGTTAGAAGAGAGTCCCCTTGATGGTGTCGGCACCTTCATTGCCGGAATCCGTACCGATCCCGTTTGGGATAATCCTCTCAAATGAGGGCAGCAGTCTCCGGGGAGATGACGAGATCGTCGGATCCGAAAATATGAGGTCAAGTTAAATGTCGATAATCGCACTTCACAGTCCTCGACACCAACCAGGATCGGGAAAAATTTCGACAAAAGAGGATCTGCCAACCTCTTGTCAGATTTAGAATGTTTTATGTTTTCTTGATAAGCGCAATTCATTAAGGGCGGATGTTAGAAATACACTTTAACTACACGGTTATTATAAAGTCACCACCCTATTTTGGTTGGCCATAACATTCCAAGGATTGTCAGATTCAGGGGATATTTGACAGAGAGGTTCATGAGTCAAGGTGGTTTTTCCCCCATGCTGCAAGATGGCGCTGCTTGCCGATAGAGAGCGCTGATGTCAACTGCAGTGCCACTTACTATGTCATTTTTTAGGCATGGGAAAAAAAACCGTTCATGCCTATGGATCTCTCTCTGCCAAATATCAGCTGCATCAGAGAATTCCTTCAAAAGATATGGCCAAAGATAGATGGTGACTTGTAACATTGTTTGGTCATAACTTTTAAAGGAATTCTCTGATGCAGCTGACGTTTCATGGAGATGTTCATGGGTCTATGCCTTATTCGTTCTATTGCCCGGCACAAATGTGTACATGTTAGCAGATGGCGCTGTGGTGGCATATTCGAACTAGAAATGAGGAGGAGAGCGAGAGCATGCATAATGCATTTTTGTGGTTATCCCTGCAATTCCTCTTGGCAAACTATATATAGTGATGAGAAATGTGATAGGGTGATGAAATGGATGGATGTAGGAGGCCACTTCCAACCTGTTCCGTGAGGTAGGGGTGTCACCGGATGGAAATGCCTTGCCCAGTCGAGTGTTGAGAAGGCGATCTGATTCCCCGTTCCGATCTTTCGATCCTTCGTTGCAGCAGCCTGTCATGATATCAGGGTTCTATGAATGCAAATCTTGTCACTCGGAATCGAAGAGTCCGATCCTCGTAACCCCGCTTGCAGTACTTATACACTTCTTATAACTGAAGGCAGGTCTGTATGGGGTGCAAAAGATAATTACGTTGCTGTCGCAATTTTGGACGAGTGACAATCTAGGAATCGTGCCTGACACGTTCTAAGATGAGGCATCAGAAGAAGGCACTCGGAGACGCTCATACCAATAGGCTTTGGTAGCGCCTATTACTTTTCTTCAATCCCTTGCAGCAAAATTCAACCTCCTCGTAAACATCTCTGAGAGCATCAACAGCAACGGAATTTCGCATTCTTCTTCCTCTCTCACCACAGAATCGCTCCAGCAAATTTGAAGCTCCATTTCCCCGGGGTTGTGGAGAACACTGAATCTCGTTTTTGGAGTATGTGAATTTCAATCCGGTTTTTTTTTTCTCCCCTCCAGGGTATCCACTCCTGGGGGGTTTTCGGTGGAAAGAGACCAACCATAAGAAAGATATTGACTCCTAGATGACGAAAAGTGGCTTTTTTGTAGTTGTTTGCGATGCTCCATTTCGCCATTAAAAAAAAATGAAATTAGTTGTCGTTCGATTAGGCTTAGAGTGCTTGCTCTAGTACCGTCCCCCAGTGTTGCCGGATACCGTGCCGAAATTATGCAAGATTCAAGACTGTTTCAACCGTCGTATTTGCGTCTGGATCTTCTGTTTTATAATGTATGAGGTATTTTTGTGCTGAATTCATGAGTTGAGCTGAGGATGCGCGGTAGTTCGCAGTTATTAATCGATGTGATGGGATTTGCAGATATCTTATCCGGACATCCCTGAATTAACAGGATGGCGCGTACCATGGATTGCATGCTTCTCGAAGGTATTCTCGCCTCTGACCTATTCGAGATGGTTCGAGGAACTCTAGATAGGCCAAACGCTCCACGTCCCACTAAAATGGTTTATGAAACGCGAAACAGGCCTCCAATCGGTCTAACGTTACTCGTCCTCTGTGAAATGGTTTGTGATAGTATAAATCGGCCTGCGATTGGTCTAACGTTACACGTCCTCAACCAGAGGTCTGATACACCACGATTCACCCTTATAGGCCAAATTGGCGCCGTAAGTCGAGAATTGAGTTTCTTTCGAAAAGAAAAAGGTAGGCCTTGGCGTGACCTGAAGGCAGTCTGTTGGTTAGGCCTAGGCCTAACGTTAGTGAGTCCCATATGGAGGGGGGGGGGTTGAAGAGAAAGTAATTGAAAATTGGTTTTCACATTACTTCACAATGACCGCGTTTCATCACGTCTACCCGATGCAGCGAGCAGTCATCGAAGATGCAGTTTACCCATTCAATGTAAATAGTTTTCATCTGGTTTCATGAGTTAAATACATTTGAAATGTAGCACATGAATTGAACACTCAATCCTCTTTCTCGACGTTCTCGAAATTGACAAATTTAATGAGCTTTGCAAACGCCATGAGGAAAACAGTGGACTCGTATGGTGCAAAAGTCAGGTTCGCCGTTAATTTCGGGCGGAAAAAAATCAACGAACGGAAAATGCTAGGATTAGTCAGATAGAAGAAAAATAACTCCCGGAATTTAGTCCCTCAGAACGGACCACGATCGATAAAGCATCAATCCTTCCTTTCTTTACAGGGGATACAATAGGTAACCTACAAAATGTAAGGAGCGCCCTCCATTGAAAAAATCCGCGTATGTTTCTCCGCGATTCAGGAAGATATCAACTTCGTCTCCCACACTGAGGTCAAGCAGTATCGATTGGCCCGGCATCTGGTCGTTGATCTGGTTTTGATCGCTATTTATGTCTATTTCTTGAGTAATCAATTCCGCTACCTCTTCTCCATTTTTCCTGATCGTGATCAAGTTCCCCCGCGGGGTACTTGGATTGTGATTCACTACACGAGTCCAGCAATGCAAATGAAAAGCGTAGATCCCATCCTGAGGTGCCGTAAAAATCCCGGTGCTCGGATCCATTGCGTCACCAATGTTCACTTCCGTTCCATCGAATGGAATTATCCAGTCCCAGTTATCCCAAGGAGTCGTTCGATACGCATCGAAATAAACCGCCCCTTGCTGTATGAATGCATCGGTCTCCAATTGAAATCCAGGATCCGTCTCTTCCAAATCCATTCGACAGAGGACGACATCCAAACGCCCTTGTTTCTTGCCGATCAAATGGTAACCTGTTCCCGTGTTCCCAGCCCGACGAAGAGACGAGCACGAAGTCGGAGGGTTCGCCGATGGGGTAGCGCGACCCCGACAAACCAATCCACCCAGAGTGTGATTCGCTTTCTGAACCTCAGTTTGCACCCCTCCGAACCGTAACTCGACGATGGGGAGTGCCGTCGGATCGGCGATGATTCCTATGTTCGCCTCCTGTTGCAGGGCTCTTGCATCTTTGTTGCAACGTCGTGTGGGATCGATGCTGTCGTGAGAGAGGCCGCAGTCGCTCGCGTGTTCTACGGCGTCCGCTTCGTCCCAGTGATACCGAGGTCGACCGTGTCGGTCGAGCCACCAGGAATACGGAGTATCGCCTTCGTTCGGGACCACCGCGGAGCAGTCGTACTAATGAAATGAATGAGTCGAAGGGAACCATATCGATTTAGACTTAGTGGCAATTTCGCCCTCAATCGTGAGTTACAACAAATAGTATCTACATTGAACTCACTCTTATTCGTTGTTCGCACGACGCCGACTGATCGATCAGGGACACTATCTGTTTGAGAGATGCATCGTACGTGACCTTTCGACTGTAGCAGCCGGGACCGGTACAATGGTGGACCTCTGTTTTTTCCATGGAATCGTGCAGGACGATGGTAGACACGGGATCTTTCAACGCGACCAATGAGGGAAGGAAAAATCTCTCACCAGTCATATTATGAAGGAAATTCTTTTCATTAACCTTTTACTAGCATGAGAAGAACCTGGCCAACCTGTCTCCATGTCGCAGAGTACTCGTATCGGAGAATCACCGATGAGAACGCCATCGGGGTCGATGAGATAGTTTCCCGACCTCGTCACTCCCAATTTCGCCAGAGTCTCGCAGGTTCTGGGAGCTGTCGGATGTTTCCCAGCTCGCAATCGAAGGAACAGGATCGGGCTTGAAAAGTGCTTTGGAGGGAAGACTCACCGATCTGCAGCCCGATCGCCTCCAGATATAGGAGTCTCTCCTCCACCGCGCTTTCCCACCGCCGAATCTCCTCCTCTCTCTCCTGCAGATCTCGCCTCAGGCGTTCGTTGGTCTTCTTCAGGCGTTCGATGTCCAGCCTCATGTTTTCGTCAGCTTTCTTCAAGTATCGGTTGTCCTGGCTCAGCTTTTCGATGCCCAAGCTCAGGTTTTCATCGTGCCGTCTCAGTTCTTCCATTGCAAACTCCAGATTTGTCATTCGGTTTGCGAGTTCCTGATTTCTTGCAATCACTGCCGACATCATTTCCTCAAAGTCCAGAGAGCTGCTCAAGTCATGGGCAGATTCGGTTCTGTATTTCTGAATAGGAAATGTGTCTGTGAATGATTTGTGCTCCGAAGTCTAGGATTCGCTTAAGAATTTGGAATCGAAAATGTGCTTTATCGGATTTTTCAAGCTCTTCATCTCCCACCCTACCGAATTATGTCGCCCTTTAATCTTCAATATTCAGAGCTTGGAAGTGAAGTAAGATAACCATTTCATCGCTTAATACCATCATCTCATGCAACCCCCCCCCCCCTCCCCCCACAAAACGACAAAAAAGGACATCACTCTAGATAAATATATCAATACTGAACTAGTTAAACCATTGATGGATAACGCAGTGAACACATTTTGTCTTTAAGTATTTTAATGAGTGTATTTAAACCCTCTTAGAGGTTCCCTTTCGCCTATAAGCGAGGCAGAGCTCTACATTTAGTGGCGCGCCCAAGGGGGGAGCTTGGAAATCATTACTCCCCCCTTGGGATACATTTTACAAGGTCGTTTCTGGAAAATTTTTAAAATTTTACCATGAATGGGTATTAAAAAAAATTATAAATAGTTAAATAAGATATTGGTGGGTTACCAATATTTTATGTCAACCCCCCCCCCCACTCCCTCCCCCCACCTCCATCGAGATTTTCTGGGCACGCAACTCGCTACATCCATCTGCTTCTTCCTAAAAAAAAAAATAGAAACAAAAAAAAACAAAAAAAAACAAACTAGAGAGTACCAGGCCATGTGCAGATCTGGCATTCTACTGGTACCACTGGATTTATTATATATATTTACCGCATCCAAATATATAATAGTTGCCATTGGTCCAGCATTGGCCAATATAAAATGGCCTGGAAACTAGACATGTTCTCGATGGTCAGCGCGTCCGCGTCGCGTGGAGATGGGAGGGCAGTATGGAGTGTAGGATGCCAGATACGGCATTTCCCGAGTGCGCCAAGCAACCCTGTCTACGCGGTGGGGAGGAGTCGCTCTCCTCAATTGTCTACTATGTTTCCGTCAACCGCTAGGGCTGGAAGGGAAATGAAAGTTTTCGTGGAAGACGGGCACCCTGACCCATACGGAATGCTGCGCGTGCGCATTCGATCATGTTGCTATGGTTACTGCGGACATACGAAATGGAAAAAAAATGGGAAAAACCTGACACACCGACCGTAATATCTGGCATTTTACCACAGTACCTATGGGAATGCCAGATAAAAATCGGATCCACAGGAAGGCAAAGGAGACCTTGCCCATCCCATTACTTGGATTTTCCCTGCTGCATGTGCGAGGCGATCGCGTCAGGACTCTCGTTGCTTGTACTCTCAATGCGTCTTTAATCCTCTGAGAACTGAAAATTTTTCGGCAAAACCGGCCGAATTTACCACAATGTCGATGTTATATGATATTACGGCAATCTTAGACAAGAAATGAGCGAAGAGTGTAACTCGTTCTCTTTGGGTGCGAGTACCACCCAAGAGTCAGACTCATTGTTAGGCCTCAACAGGTTAACGTCAGGCGATGCGAAGTGGAGCAAAAGATTCTTTGCCGGAATCGATGTGCTACTCGTTTTCGTGGTCATCTTCTTGCTATGGTATTTCTCCTCAAAATGCCCAAACTGGAGAAAATCTAGCTGGGTGTCCCCTCACGCGTACTTGGAACCGAATGGAGAAAATTCCCCAGGAACTGGATTTCGATATCGAGGGGAATCCATCTGGTTTTAAATCTCCCCACAAATAGAACGTTTTTGATGGGTTCGGAAGCGAAGCATAGCGCTTTTCCTTACCTCTCCGAAGCCGCATTTGGCGAAAACTAATACTAGGAATGCCAGGACGCTCGGGATTCCGTTCGTTTTCATCTTCAGCCTCCAAGTGGTTCCTCTTACCTAGACATATGGGAATTAAAGCACAGAGATCAGGGATTCAGGATACGAGATCAAATACACCGAGTCGTTTATCCCTTTCCTATAACTTAAAAGTAGCCGGAACCGTTCACTGCGTGTTATTTACGCGTTCCAGTCGTGTAAAAGAAGTGTGGAAAGAGCCGCAAAAAGTGAAGGAAAGATTTTTAGCTGGAATTAGGAAAGAGCACCCGCAGGGATTGGATCGTGTGTGGGAGGGTGTCTGCACCTCTGGAATATGGAGTGCCACCCCCATGTAACATCGGCAAGATGATGAATTCTAACTCAAGAATTAGGGCTCTACACTTTGCATTAGTGCTGAGCCATCCTGTGCCATGCCGTTGAAGCTGCATGGAACCAAGAGAGGGATATCCAGTGTAGGCTTCTATTCGTTTCGTGTGTGTGTGTGTCCACGGAGTTAAGAAAAGGAACTGGAGGTGACGCACATTAGAATGGATTTGCTGCATTTAGAAGCCATTGTGGTTGGGACCACGGTGGCTCTTCGTTCACGATGCGTTTTTCATCATTTCCCCTCCCAGATCTCCTGCTGCTGTGAATGTGATGCATGATGCAGTCATGTAACTGGAGGCCTAATAAATCGGGGGAGTTCCGTAGGCTGCCGATGAACACCAGAGGCCTGCTTTTAAATTCTATGAATCAACGCACGCACATGAATTGCAGGGGAAAATCCCATCGAAGTGAATGGTGACAAGCTGCCACGATCCCAACAAATAAGACCCATGGCTTCTCATTTCGGCACGCTCGTCTATACTGTTCCTATGGGTGTGCCATCTCCAGTCCTTTTTCTTAGCTCGGTGTCCCAAGTCTTCCCGTCACGTGTTCCCCCCTTCAGTCCGAGGCATTCCGTCCCGAATATCGATCTATCTAGCCCTGTCCTTGAAATCGGATCTTCGTAAACCCGTCTTTAGCCTTTCGTTTATTGGGAGGATTTCATTCGGTTCTCTTCCTCCGACCACATCTGTAACTATTATTTTTTTCAACTCTGCCTCTGCGAGGACTGCTTCATCCACAGTTGTCATATTCGTTTCTTCGAGTGTCTTAAGTTGAATCCCTGTCATTTCTGGCGAAGACCGTATTTTCCATCGCCACAGGTCATCGATGTTTTGCTCGGCCTTAGAGTGTAGAGACGCAATCATTTCCGCTCGTACCAAATTATTCCTTCTTACCATTCCTGTTGGTACGTATCTAACAGTTCATACTTAGTTCATCCCTGCGACACCTACATAATTGCATCAGGAGGACAATTAACGGAAGATTGTTTTTTTTTTTTTTTTTGGGGGGGGGGGGGAGTAATCCTCAACTCGNAAGGAAAGTTTTTTTTTTTTTTTTTTTTGGGGGGGGGGGAAGTAATCCTCAACTCGTCTCGAACTCAATTGTTCGCGATCCTCCAACCCTGTTCCCCCCCGAATACGAAATGGCTTCCTTGCTCAACTCCCTTCCGATAAAAATACAGCTACATGTTTGTTTCACGCTTCGCAAAAATTTCTATTTGAAGCAAATAAATTATTCGAAAAAGAGAAAGCGTGGTACGAGGTAAGCGACTCACCGTTGAAAGCGAGGCCGACCAGCCAAAGACTCGGATCCCGAGGAAACTTTGCCGGGCTTTAAATGTGGAAGACTCCTGGGATGAAAGCGCACCTGGCCCCCTCTCCCGATGTTTCCTGTTTGCCGCGAGAGAGAAGCCTGTGGGAGCGAACAACATCTGATACACCTTTCTGCGCATATAGCGAGTTTTCGTACAACGTGTCCGTTCCTTAATGCGGAATGTTATTTTATTTGCTCTCGGAAGTACCGCGATCGTTAGTAGTTCGCAGTAAAGTTTCTTTCTATATGGCTTTCCATGATTGATTTTGCTAATTCTTCATTACCCTTCATTTAGCCGTTGCGTTCTACTTGCAGTTACCACCTGAGCACCTTCCAAGGATATTGTTCCCATTTATGCAGTCGGCTGACGCAGACGTCACGTCATTCGAAGGAAAGCGTCGTGGCTATTTCGAAGCCCTCGGAGTGCATGGACCTATGCGAACCGCAATCAATAAAGCCTTTATCACGAACCTTTGCCAAAGGAAGGTTCAGTGGGTGACCTGAAACGGTCGATTGCTTACATTAGAGACATTTTCGCATTGCCAACTGCCACGATCGCAAGATGTCTCTTAGAGGTGTGCGTGAGTCCCGCTTCGGGCGTGATTCACGCGGGACTCACGACCTTTTTCGTGAGTCGTTACTCGAACAGAGGTTCGGAGAATGCCTTTATCGTGATCGTGAAGAGAACAGAATTCACTCGCGCGTGATCGCGAGTATTTTTTTGTTTCTCTCCTTTTTTTATAGATTGCCAGATTTATCAGATAATATCCTTCTACGAGGATCGAAGATCGAACCCGTGGGAACGTCGAAAGTTTCATATTCTCATGCAAGCTTTTCTTGGAACCAAATGCCGGTAATGCCATAAAAACAAAGATGTGATTTCTATGGTTTGACCGGCAAGGTCAAAAGGATCTTTTTTTGGAGCATGCTTTCTAGTTTCCATTCCTAGTGTTTCCACCTGGCGTCGATGAGACACAGGAGTGTCTTATCGATCTTATCGGACCCCTGAGTTTATCTCACGTGGATCCTGGAGGAAGTTCGGAATTTCCCCCTTTTTTTTCCCAAGAAATGAGGGAGATCCCGAAGCATCCGGCGATGAGTGTCGAGTCCTCCGAAGACCACTCGGTGGTTAGAGACGAAGTGGATGATCGAATCCGCCGAAATGCGCGACGAAGCCCCACGACCATGGGTGGGGGGGGGGGGGGGGGGGGGGGC